TTCTCTTTGATTTCGCCATGATTTTAAATTCAGAATAGTCATAATTTTAGAATGCTTGCAGCCATATTAAAGTCTACAATCTGCCGTCCGATTTAAATCATAGCAAGAAAAAAAATGAATTCGTGCCTTAAACAAGTGTATTAATGCAAAAGTGAAATCAAAATTCGCCGATTACACTTTCCACACCTTAATATACACCGAATTTGTGTCTTCATTCTAGTTTTTATAGCAGCAGCGGCATTTAGAATCATTGTCGCTTCTACCGAATTGAATCAGGCTTTAATAGACAAACTTGGTGGGGTTAGATTAAAATTACTGTGTTGTGACTTCGATATTTACCTGCCTAACCCTAAGAAGTCATAATATTACATCCTCATTCAGTGTGAATTTTCGTCTGAAATATCCAGATTATTTATTGCAATGCTTTCCTCTGCCATTCTGTATAGTTTTCCTTTCAGAGTTTTCCTTCTCGTAAATTGGTTGAACCCCAAGTCTAGAGAATTCAGTCTACCCTGCTACTCAAACCACAAATGAGGGAGAGGGAGAGGAATAGGTGGATCCATGCCTTTCCCGAGTTCATGTGCCACATTGAATGCAACATAGTAGGCGATTGGTTCACCGATTCCAATTGATAACTCAATAAGTTTATCATTTACCCCAATCTCAAGCCGGAAGTAGCACCCCTTCTCTCTCGTTCTCTCTCTCTCTTTCTCTCTCTCTCTCTCGAGAAGAATGAGTGTTTGAATTTTCGTATGAGAATGCAACAGACCAAGCGAGATTAGAACCATAGATGCAATATATATAAAATTGTGTAGACGCCCTTTTCCTTCAAGGAGTCTTAATTCGTCTACCGGTATGCCCTCCCTAGAATACTTAAGAATTTGCAAAAGAAAATTAACGGGGCGTCTTCTGTTATCTATCAATACTATTATACATTGTATTTTATTTAAACCTGGGGTTGTAGTCGACACTCAATATACGTGAATAATTTACAGAAATATGTTCGTTTTGAGTTGAAAGTGTGTTACATGAAGAGACTTCTGAAAGAATAATAATTATACATGCATAAAAGCTGAAGATTTGAATATTTATATTTCAGTATATGTTTTACATGTGTATTTTAATCTCTCTACTAAAATTATAATTAAACTATCTAGTATCTTACTAAAAAAATCTCATATCTTATTAAAAATGTTTTTATTTTGTCTGAAACTGATTAATTAACAGAATATGTTTTATTTAATATTATATCCTCTATAATTCGAATCCGCCTAATGTGTTTGTTTTATCGAAACTGAATCAGTTTTTTAAAGTCATTCTCACAAAGTCTACACTGATAAGACGGGACCAAAGAAAGTTAGCTTTTTCTCATTTATTTTCTACGCACTTCTTTAATTAATTATATATATATATATATATATATATATATATATATATATATATATATATATATATATATTAAGTAATTCATTGAGTCTGAACCTCAACAGAATGCAGAAAGCACTGGACGGCCGTTTCATCCTATATTTGGGACTCATCAGCAGTGCGCATCCACTACAGAGAATTGAAACCCTGACAGTAAGGTTGTCAAGCAAATATCATACCAAAGTGTTCCAATGGGCCTTGGTGACGAAGAGATTTCAAATCAAACTCGATATAGCGCCGCTCGCTCACATATTCCGTAGTGGAACTCTACTGAGCCCTCTGTAACCATAGGACTGTGTCCCCTGGAGACACGACTACTCTCACCAAGCCGCTCACTCTAGAGCATTAGAAGCCGGTTCAAGCAATGATGTACACATATAGAAATTATTAGGAGGATTTGATAATTATATTAAGTAATTCATTGAGTCTGAAAGAAACCTCAATAGAATGCAGAAAGCACTGGACGGCTGTTTCGTCCTATATTTGGGACTCATCATATATATATATATATATATATATATATATATATATATATATATATATATATATATATATATATATTATTATTATTATTATTATAAGGAAAATTCTGAAACGAAAACTATGGTGGAATGGCAGGGGAAAGCATTTTTATATATATATATATATATATAGTTAAGTTATGAAGAACTTGATAATCCGTATGAGTAATCCCAAGGAGGATGAAATGTAAAACCAGAGCTAATATTAAAAAAGAAAAAAAAATATAATATATATATATATATATATATATATATATATATATATATATAAATTATTATTATAAGACCATAATAAAAACACGTTGAAATCGCTACATAAAGGCTTTAATGTTTCAATATTGTGATTGTACTTCTTCAGGCGATGATAAGTAGCTGTGATAATGACTTTTAAGGAAATTTAAAAACAAAGTGTTAACTCTTTTCCGAAATTTAAAAGTGGTGGTGGAACATAAGGTCAGAATTAAAAATATACTTGTGGGGTATGTCTTGATTAACAAATTAAAGGACAGATCTAATCTAAATAGAAAAGTAAACTCAGAACGTGGAGGTGGGTGAGTTATTTGTTCATGTCATGATAAACCGAAACATAGACAGGTCATCATTGACGATTGCAGAAAATATGTCACGATACATTTGTCGCTAACATATTTTTCGCAATCGTCAATGATGGTTTGTCTATCGCTCCCCTTCAAGTCAGTATATATATATATATATATATATATATATATATATATATATATTACTATGTATCCTTTTTACATTTTCCACAGACTTGAATTGAGCGACTACAATGAATCAATAACTGCATTCATTGCAAGCAAAATTGTGTCACTGTATTTTGCTAGAAATTTTTTCTTCTCAGAATCCATCTTGCACATTTACAAATCTACCGTTCATCCGTGCATTGAATACTCCTGCCATATCTGGTCTAGTGCTCCTGCTGTATATCTTGAAATTCTTTACAAAATCCAAAGAAGGATCTGTAATGCAATGTATCTTGTTTTGGCATCTCAAATTCAGTCATTTTATCACAGACGTGACGCGGCTTCCTTCTGTTCTACAAATATTTTCATGGCAACTGCACTGACGATCTTTTTTCCTTTAGGCCCTGACTACACCAATTTAAGTGTACCACTATATTGGTTTTTACGTCTCACCCTTTTACTGTTGAAATAGATACTTCAACAGTTTCTTTTCTCGCACTCCATACCTGTGGTACTCCCTTTCGTTTGTTGCTTCTCTGATAACTACAATCTTCAACAATTTAAACGCGACATCAATCGCCATCGTCTGTTTTCTTGAATACTGTCCATCTTTTGGCCGTCATTATTTAATAAAATAAAAATGTAGCCTCTCAAACACGTGTACTCAATGAAAATAATGTTTACAATATATATTTTAAGACATTTTTTATGTCTATGTATTCTTTTTATAGATACAAATATTTAAGTAAATTTACTGCCCTGAATGTTCGCGAAATTTTCATAGAAAATTATCGTCCTCCGACAGGAATCGAACCTGTACTCTATACGGAACCGTCATATAGCCTGATGTGCCTTAACCGTTTCAGTCAGTAAGGTTGATTTTACTGTCTTTAAACTTTAATCGTCCATGAATCTCTCTCGTACATTCATATCTGTTCATGGCGTATCAAATGTAAACAAATGACGTTACACATTATGAAATGGACAAAGTCCGACAATTATTTTAAGACATTTTTATGTTTATACATTCATATTTTTTATAAATACAAATATTTCAGGCCGGTAAATGTTGTTTAATACTGTTTATTATAAAACAGAGCATTTAAACATAAAAATGTCTTAAAATAATTGTCGGACTTTTTGTCCATTTATATATATATATATATATATATATATATATATATATATATATATATATATATTACACAGCAAAAAATCCACAATTGCCTCATGTGGGTATAGCCTATTTCAACTACCGCAAACTTGCGCAACTCTTCTTCAACTCTGGACAATGCTTCTGGGAATACCCGTATGAAGTAATTTTGGATTCTTAGCTGTGTAAAAATATATATGCTCTGTTATAATAAACACATTGAGCTCTCTTTGGGGATCAGTTTTTCATATTTGATATTACTAGGATACACCTCGATTATATACCAACGGATCTATTACCTGTACTATATATATACATACATATATATATATATATATATATATATATATATATATATATATATATATATATATATATATAAGTTCGTCCTGGGTATGATGATGAAATCCATTTGGCAGCAAAGCCTCCGATTGGGAGGTTTTGAGGACGTGGAACCACATATTAGTTACAGAAAACACCCTGACCCGAGTGGTAGCACCTGTTAGGGCCCCAGCAAACGGAAATAGTTACCTCCTTCTCCCCCCACAAAAAATGGGGTCAAAACACTATGAAAGTATAAAAATATCATTTTTCATTATAAAACACCAGAAATCCGTCTTCGTAATAAAAAAAATACCATCTAAATATTTTTGTAAAAGGAATTACTAATGCTCCCAAGAAAATTAAATTTCTGCATTACATAACCCATAAAGAGTAGATATGCCGGAAACCAAACACATCAATAATATTTTTTTGGAAAAAAATGTAACGAATTGGAAAAATGTGTTCATGTGACGTGGTTTGTCCTTTAGGACTTTATCTGACTAAAGTGATATTTACGTTGATACGACTACACATGCGCACATATCCCTTCGTTTGTACGCATGTGCAGGCGCATCAACGAATATCTATATATATATTTCCTTTTTCAAAATGGTATTTCTGATTACCGCATTATTTCTCCCTGTCCATTTTCTACGTTTTTAATGCGATAAAAGCAGACACATTTATAGCATTATTTAAATTCTGTGTCTCCACGAAGATCATTAAATGTTTTAGAAAATTTAAAATATAAACGATATTTCAATAAAAAAAAAAGCTCCGTCTGTAATTTTTGTCTGATTTACTGAAATGAAATTTCTTTCCATCTTATGTATTGGCTTGTTCGCATCGCTTACCCCACCCCACCAGTTTACGGACCTATCATGTTGAAACACCGGTTCTCAACCGATCACCGAAGTTAAGCAATATAGAGCTTGATTATAACCTAGTTGGGTGACCGCTTGGGAATACCAGGTGCTGTAAACTTGGATGTGTGGGTTGAAGCGAGTGAAAACTAAACAAGATTTCAGTCAATTTATTTTATTTTTAAACGGCCCTAATGAGAAACCAGATAGCAGTTTTCAAATACTAGTCGTTACATTCCCTTACGCTCAAATATTTCCCCCACGTCGCCTCCCATGCTATGGATTAAATAGTATGACTTGATTCTGAAAATAACTATTATCTCCAAAAAATGTTAAGACAATATTCACTCAAAAATAAATTTCATTATATTTATTTATTTGTTTAACCACTTCACCCGAAGTAAGGTGATAATGTCACTAAGATGCAAGGGATTACTGGAAGTAAAAGTGAGTGAGAAACCTTTACAAGAAGGAACAGAATTTTGGCTTTCTGTTATTTCTCCTAAATCTTGTTCCGCTACCTATATCTTCAAGATCACTAAGTATGTTATATGTTGTTTTCCTCAGTCCCTCTTGCCCTCTCTCTGCCCAGTAAGTATCAGATTTTCCAAGCCCTCTTTCCTCGGCCTGTGCTATTTAAACTTCAAATGTCTCTTCCTGCTCTTAAGTATAAGTTTTCCATTTCTTTCCATTTTCTCTAAAAACTTCGTCGTTGTCCATGGTATTTCCACCACCCTTTTCTGCTGCTTCAAGTCTCTTCATCTTTGTGGAGATTGTCCAGAATATCTGGCATATCGAAGAACAGATATCCCATAACATTTCAACTAATCCTAAATAGGAAGCAAGGGATAAATCTCTAGTCCTGCTCAAAGGATGAGGAGGGAGTGTGAACCGGGCGATAGGCAAACTTATCCACTCCTACTGAAAAAATATAAGAGATTTAATTAAAACAAAAAATAGTAAATAAAATTTTGGAGTTTAGGTGGAGATGTTAGAAGTGTAAAGTTAAACTAAGAACACATGCGATTCAGGTGTATATGGGATTGGAAGTTAATTATGTAATCACCGCTCCTTAATGAATTTAAGCTCATTTTTCTTTTTTAATCGAGTTCATCCCATGCAAGACAGTAAAGCCATTGAGACAAAAGAGATTTAGTTTTTAACATTAGGTACGTTAGCGCCTAAAAATAGAAGAAGCGACGGATATCTTAACTAACATTCAGCAATTTATGTTATTTTTAAATACTGCAGTGATGGATATGTGTGCGTGTTTTTCCTTGAACTTAACTGCAGAAGGTCGATAAGCTGTAAAAAACTAAAGAAATCAATCAACTAATCCCTTCCTTCGAATTTCTTGTCATTTTAATAACGTTCCGGCTACTGTAGACTTTTAAACAAAACGCAATCTTTTTGTATCTACGGCAGTATTCCGTGCGCATTCTTTTCTTTGCCACATCCGATGTCCATCGCACGACAACAATTAGTAAATTGCCTTACTCTTTAACCCATATTAGTACATTTCAGATTGAAGATATTCCTCAATTGCCAACAGCAAGGTTCTCCCATGCACCCAATATGTCCAATTGGCACTACTTTACAATGTTTAGATTTCATTAAATGACATACGAAATTTTAATCGAAGTTTAAATATATAATTTAACTTAAAAAAAAACCGCCAATGGTGAAATAATTTTGCAGTGCTATAATGCTTTATTAATGTAATAAAAACCGGCATGTAAAAACAAGAAAAACAAAAATGGAGGTAAGAAAAAGTATATTACCGTAAAATGGTAAATGACAGAGGACCGGTTGAAACCATATTTTTGTTAATTTAATTTCGATATTACCTTTTTATGGTAATTTCTTTTTTCTACCCTCTTTTTTGTGATAATTTCCTTCTTGTTTTAACATGTTCGTCTTTATTGCACTAATGAAACGTTAATCCTAAAGTATGCCAATAGATCTGTTGAACCATGACATATTTGGGAAGGACAAGAGAATAATCAAGGATCTATACCGGCATCAAATTGCCTGCATACGGATAGAAAAAGTTCAGCATATATACAAAAATAGAAATGGGTGTTAGCCAAGGATGTGTCTTCTCATCGGATGAGCCTACACATCGAGGCAATTCTGAGAGAATTAGATGTCCTACCAGGATTTAGTATCCTACCACAATCTTAACAGAAGATATGCAGATAGCAAAGAGATAATAACAAGCATAGAAAGAAAAGGTAGTGAAGGAAAACGAGAAGAAAGGAATAATGAAAACTGCAAGAAGACAGAATGCATGTTTATTAGCATAAGGGTGAGTCCAAAATGCAAATTACAAATCGGAAGTATCAAAAAGCAACCAAACACGCAAATTTAAATATCTGGGAAGTGTTTCAACTGAGGACGAAAAATAAGACACTGAAATCCGAAGACGCATTGCGATAGCCAAATATGCATTCTAAAAGCTTTTAAGAGATAGAAAAAATTCGTTAGAAACAAAGAAAAGACTACTAAACTGTTACATGATATTTGTGCTGTTACGTGATATGTGTCCAGTGAATACTGGACAATTTCTTCAAAGAAGAAGAGACTTGAAGCTACAGAAATGTGGTTCAACAGAAAGATGATGAGAATAGAATGGACCGAACACGTGAGCAACAACGGGGTTTTATATTAGAGCCAAGCTTGAGAAAATGGATGACGAAACATGGTTTAGAAATAAAGAAAACAGAATGTATTTAATAGAGCTGCAAGGGACAGGTAATTATGGACAGCCATGATCGTTTACGTCCTCCGTGGACACAAAACATAAAGAAGATCTGTCAATATTTTCACTTTGCTGGTGTATATTTCTGCATTATCTGGCTTCATGACCTCCAAGAAAATAAATTATCTTTGCTACGGGTTTTACTCTGAAGCCATGAAGCTAAAACAAGAGCTTTATGTCAGTTTTTCTTTATATATATATATATATATATATATATATATATATATATAAAACTCGTTAAGAAAAGAACAAATATAGGGATCCGTTTGACTGTATTTCCAAGAAGCTTACAAAATGCAACACATGCTTGACTTGCACAGAAGGTCACAGCCACCGCCACTGCTACGTTATGATGACAACAACTACTATAAAACTGCTCTGAAAGTATAAACGTGGAGATTAGAAAGATAATCTCAAATATTTGCAGGTGAAATGATGTAGGTATAGAAAATAAACACTATGTCCAACACAATTACATATCCACATACATGCTGTATTAAACACATCCAAAAATTATTTTCTACGCAATAATAGAAAATATAACAAACATGCCAAATATATTCCACAACACAACACACACATTAAAGTGTCTATGGGTTAGAAATGAACATGACCATGTGAAATATTGACCAATCAAAGAAAACTAAAACCTACTTTCTTGATCCTGCTTTTGGGAATAAATTCTCATGAAACCCCACAGATTTAGACTTTCCGTGATAAATCAGTAAGAGTCTGACCATCACAGACACAGATCGTTTTTTAAATTTGGTATACAGTGTAACCCGGATATAAGAGACCCGGATATAAGAGAAACCCGGATATAAGAGAGATTTTCTCTGGTCCCAAATTAGAGCCTGTGTTAATGTATATAAAATGGACCAAACCCGGATATAAGAGAAACCCGGATATAAGAGACTTCTTCTCCGGTCCCGACAACTCTCTTATATCCGGGTTACACTGTACTTATAAAGCTTCATCGCACGAATTATATAATACTTATCTTACATCTTTATGTCAAGGTATTAACGAGATATGTCCTTTTGACCTTTGCCAGAAAACATGAATTTTGGAAAATAGTCACAAATTTTAAATACCAATATCCTGCTGCTTTTTCACCTACAAAACAAAATTATATACCATTTTAAAGTACTTAGCTGAATCTAAAGGATGATCTATGTATTCTCTTGTTTAAATGTCAAATAAGTTAATTTGACCTTGATCTTTGGCAATGTTCAAAAAGCGTAGTTTATTTTAATTTTTTTTTAATTTGTCAACAAATTTTTCTGCCTTATGGCAACATATGTATAAAATTTTGTGGTTGACTTTTGACTGTGGCCTGAGTTATAATGGTTTTACTAAATTGTGTCAAATTCAAACTGACGGATTTCAGTATATGCCACTATATGCTAACAATTTCATATCTCCCAATATGTAGATGTATATCTGTAGAAAGCAATTTGAATGCTGATATAAGAATTATGATCATAAAATCGACAGAATTCTTGTTATTTGTGGTTAAATGTTGACCAGTTCCGTGGAAAATAACCTTATTTTCGGTTTTGTTTAGATTTTTATTACTCAAGAATTAGATTTTTATATGAAAACGAGAAATAATGAAAATAATTATTTTTAAAAGTGGCATGAATTAATGTAAAGATAACAAAATAATATGAAAATATGCAACAAATGATGTTAATGGTCAACAGTATTTTGTTGGCATGGTGGACTAAATAAATGTACGAAATAATCAGTTTTTTAGTTTTTGTTTTATATATATATATATATATATATATATATATATATATATATATATAATTAAGATTAACAGTCACAAGCAAACTCATTGTTCTATCTAATATTTCATATCTAAACCATGATTACTTTATTTCATTTCAACTTTTCGGTAAGTCAAAATATGTGCTGGTCATGAAAGTAATAATTTATTTTCTTAAGTTAGTGTGAACAAAACTGACTTCAACATGACTTTAAACTGGTACCTATATCCTTGGTCCTTTGAAACAAGTCGCTTACTCTCCAGACTGTAAAGATATTGGATGCTTTTCATAGAAGGTAGGATTCTTTATCGATAGAGGAAAACCAAAATAGTTGTTGTAAGTACTTTTTAAATTAAGTTAGTGTAATGATACAACATATTTATTACTGATAAATCCTCGGTGGGAGTGAAAGTTATATACTGCAAAACAATGAGATATGCATTGAGATAAAATTTCGGTTTTAATTCATAATACTGGTATAAATAATCATGTATAATTTTGTTGCTAGAATATAGTAGTAAAAGAAATTAAACTGGTTTCAGCTAGAATTTCTCTTAAAGAATATACCGTGTAAAAGAGCAC